TTTTTTTTTGTTCTTTTACTCCTTTTACTCTTTCCTTTTTATTACTCATCGATCCTAACTTTTCATTCTATGCACAAAACGGATCATACTTTTTCTTCGCGAAAAAGAATCGTGTAGTAAGGTATATATAATCATATACTCGTAAAGCTTTTACTCACAAGCAAAAAAGATTCAATAAGAATCATTTTTAAATTACTTTGTAAAAAATACAAGAAATAAATTAAATACATAACGTGTTGATATTTTGTTAATACCTTCGTTAGACGAGAAGGTAATTAATTCATTCTAATCCTTTTTATAACGAAGCTTCTTCGTTCTCTTAAACGTACATTATATACTCGTATATATCATTTTTTGTGTGTTTTGAATAAATTAAATTTTCGTCGTTCACAATTATCACATTACAGCGTATAATTAAAGAAATTAATAGGACTTTTTCTTTTTTAATCTGGTAGTAAACGATTCCCAAAGTGAGAAAGAAAGAAAGAAAGAGAAAGAGTGAGAGAGAGAAATGAAGAAAGGAAAGAAATAGAGAGAGAGAGAGAGAGAGAGAGAGAGAGAGAGAGAAAAAGAGAGAAAGAGAGAAAAGTCTTTGAACAACAACACCTTTGAGTTACACTAGAAAAGGAATGAAATATTTCTTTCGTATCTTATCGATTGTCCTTTCAATCCTTTACTTTTCGTATCCCGAAAGAAGACACTTTTTTTTCTTATCGTTAACAGATTAGTTCAAATGTCAGTTCGTTTTATTCTGGAGAACGCGTTCGATGTTCACCAAAATGGCTTATAAGAAAAAACACTGAAACGATCACTGTCTTTATTCGCAATACTGTAACGAGTAGAGAACGATCCATTCGAACGATCATTCGAATAGAAATCGATTAGTTTAGACAATATAGAAGGTTCTTTCCCTTCTAATAGAATTTCGGTTATTAAATTTGTATGTTAAAATCTCGTTCGTTTAAAGAGATTTAAATATATATTCCGAAATTCTTGTCTGACAATCGTTTATAATTTAAGTCGCAGCTCCATAGGAATGTCTTTGAATAGCCGAAGTAGCAACAGGTAAAGGATAACCAGCAGCATAAAGTGGTCTTGGTGCTAATAGCGGTGACTTTTTCGTTGTCGAATCAAGCGACGACACACTTTTCGGTTCGGTTAATTCGTTTTCGTCAGGTGCGATGATGTTCTCTATGGTGAAAGGTTTCTTCGTTTTTTTCCCAATGCCTAGTGAGGACGATAGGCTGGTATTGTTGATGGTCGAAGTTAAATTAACGATAGGATCTCGATTATTCGGCGAGGATGCCTGAGACGTCGTGACATGATCCGTTGTTAAATTGGTGATTTGGTCGGTAGTTATGCTAAGTAATGGCGAGGATCGATTGTTTGCTCGATAATTTTTAGAAATAGGTGAGCCAGGTGAGATGGATGAAGTTGGCGATGGCGGTGCCGTGACGATGCTACCATAGATCGCACTGATCCTCGATGAAGACGACAAGGATTCGTCCTCGTTAACGTTATCGCGGTAACCCAGTTCGTAAGGATTGTTATTATCGGCCAAGAAACGTTCGTTGTTTTCTCTGACGTCGAGTCCGGGTAAAGATGTACGAGTACAAAGTCGACGTGCATCCGGGGATTCGGTGTTGGATGGTTGAAGCTGTCCCGTTGTTTGTTGTAGATAAGATAATTGAGATACGTACGGTGAAACAGGGAACGCGGAAAAATTCCATGTGCCCGATTGAAGCAGGGCAGCTTCGTACGTCCTTAGAATTTCGTTGCTACTCTCTGTACTGGTCAATCTTTGTCTAACTTCCGGCGACAACAGATAATATCCGGCAACAGCTTCGTTATTGGCATCGAATCCGCTTGGACTCGGACTCGAGCCGTTCGGAAAACCTGCATTACTTCCAGAACCAGCCGAACTTATCATCATTCGTCTTTCCTCCATTTCCCAACGTAATAAATCGTCCCTCAATCGATGCAAACTCGCTACGTTTAGGCCTGTCCCCGTCGTACTGCTCGTCGGGCTGTTATTGACATTATTAACTGGCGATTGGTCCGAACAAGGTGGTGGCATCGCCGAAGCCAACGCTTGAAGTTCCGATTTTAACAATTCCTTGTCGGGTTTGTGAAGTTTAAAACGTTTCCGACGACGAAGAAGCGAGCCATTTTCGAACATGGACAGAGCACCTGGGTGAAGGGCCCAATAGGCACCTTTGCCTGGTCTGTGCGGTCCACGTGGTACCTGGAACGTGGAGAATATTTTATCAGTCGCTTCGAATTTTTGCACTATTCGACTTGTAATCGAAGGGTCCTGATGTTTATCGCGCTTTACTATTTCTCTATTATTATGTATTTTCGTTTCTCTCATTCCCTTTGGTCTAGTCTTTCAAAATATCTTCACGTCATATTCTTAAATAAGATATATGTATTTTTGTTGTTGTTGTTGATTCAATCCGACGTTATAATCGCGCGTATAATCGCATTAAATCACATTCATTCCCAATCCCAATCCGAATCGTAATTGCAATGCAAAAGTATTGATTTGAATTTCTCTTAATGAAATATAAGTACCATTTGATCCCGTTATATATATATATATATATATATATATTATTAGCAAAAGATAATTATTATTTAACTCGATAAAAAACCTTGGAGTTCAGAGGGAGTGTGGGGGGGGGGGAGAGAGAGGTTGGAGGAAATTATTTGTAGTACGATCATAAAGAAAATAAGGCAAGAACTTGTTGAAATGATACCATTGAATAGTTTCTTTCCTCTAAGATTTTTTCTCTTGGTTCTATCTATCTTCGGTTACTTGTTAGAAAAGAGCTATAGACCAGCCCAGTTCTAGTATCAGTCTATATATCTCATCGATAGTACTATATCTCGGAAGTTGAACCTTAGGCTATCCTTCATAAGACAGTAGAGAAGAGCACACGAGTTGGTACATTTAACCAAGGATGCGGTTTGTCGGTGCAAATAGTAATCGGTCTCATCGAACGCGCTGTCGGAGGCACTAATAACGTCGACCATAATATATTTTCCTTCCCCTTCTACTCATAGTCCGCTTATTATAATCTACCGGGAGCGGACGAGCTTCTTTTCCAATCGAATCAACTTACCCGATCGACAGATAATCATTTCGCCTTATTAAATGTAAAACCTGTTCATTCTCGGTGTAATGAACTTAGCTCCCTCCTTACACCTCTCACCTTACAATATATATTTTTCTTTTTCTTTTTTTCTTTTTCTTTTTTTTTATCTATCCAATATGTGTAACTAGTCAATCCTAATAACAACACTCACATACAAAGATATATCCGATGGAAAATGAATTTATGCACTTTGTATCAAAGGATTATAAGTATATCGTGTCATCGTCTATCGTTTACATCTTCAAATAAAACAAATTCAAAAGCGCGTATTAAGAAAAAAGAAAAGAAAAGAAAAGGAAAAATGATATTAAACGAGCGTGCATATTGACATTATTATTTATCTGTCCCATAAACTTACTTTATGTGCATGAAAGGTTTCTATTAATTTAATAAAAATCTTAGTATAATTATATCATTTTTCAATCACACATTTTGATCTACTTTAACAATAGTACGCAAGAATAATAATAATAATAACGATACGCATCATTGACTTTTATCATTAACATTTTCAAAACTGTTTTTTGCATTCTTAACTAGTTTTTATTTGCTCGTACTCGATTTTTTTTGTTTCGTTTCGCAAACACACATGTAGGTATATATAAATATTAGATAACAATTTGTGTCTAGTCAGCTAGTGCAACATTCTTTAATTGATGGTATCGAAACGAGTTTGATAGATAATTATATATCTTTGAAAAAGTATAAAATTATTGAAAAATAATATCTACAAGAATGAAAGTAAATAAATATGTTGACTTTTGCAAATTAATGTGAAAATAACTTTATATAAATGTCATGTCTATAGAATTTAGTATTTATAATTTTATCGCGTTTGCACGGTTATTTGCTATTCACTTCTGTTAGTTTATAATCGGAGAAATATTTATTTGGAAATTAATCAGGTTTATTTGATATCATAAAAAAGACAAAAGGAAATTTCTTATCGTATTTTGCGTAGAATTCAATTAGATTCAAATTCGATCGTTTATTGTCAGAAAGAATATCAAGTACAAGTTGGATATCTTTTCGTTGTAAAGAAAAAGTTAGTTCGTCCAAAAGTTAGTTGGAAATATCATTCGACGATATGTTTCCCTGAATAATAAGGGGTTGTGAAAAGTTTTCGCAATAATGCTTGCGTGTCTAGTAACACGACGTTTACACGCACATAGGTATATATATATATATATATAGATATATATTGAAGATCGCAACAATGTTGCATACTAGGCACAATATCTTATTGGCTGTGTAACCGCCACATGTGTTAATGTTTGCGGTATATTTGAACTTCTATCCTGGTAGGGGAGAACAGATAGATATTTTATTATTATTTTTTCATTTTTATATTCTAAAAACACATCACCGGTGACATATGGCACATGTCACATGGAATGATCCAACAAACAGGACATCCTGAAGACTCGCGCACAAAGTAAAATATCTTTCTTTTTCTATTTGTGTGTGCAATGTTTGCTTTTTTTAATATATATCTAAATGATGTAATCGTATAAGAAAAAAAAATACAATCTAAAATAGCTCGGCTAGTCAACTAATGATCGAAATAGAAGATAATAACATTTTAGTTTCGATACACGAACGAGTGCAATTTTAAAGATAATTATGGGAATGAACTATGGGAAATATAAGTACATTAAATATAATTTCAAGTGTCTAATCTTTTTGATGAAAATTGTTATATTATCCCCACGGTGGGGGATAATAGATTTAATATATTTCAATGTATTATTTAAACGTGGTAATATTAAAAAACTTTAGAAGAAATTTGCTTTACGTGAAAAGGTAAAAAAATAAGATTTTTGTCCGACGGCAAATAAAAATGTATAGCAGATAGGGATAGGTATGCATCTATCTAAGAAGCAAATTAATTAATTTAATGTGATAAAAAATGTTTGATATTATTTTTTATAAATGATAAAAGTATGATGTATATTTTTTAAAATAATATGCGATACATTGAAAATATTTGACGTTTGACTAAAAATTACGGGAAATTAATTTCTACGGGAAATTACATTATACTAATTACGTTTGACTTAAATAAATTTCCTTAAAAGGCTATTGCATTATTTTCACAATGAATGACAACGAAAAAAACTGCCCCTTTTCGGAATAAGAATGAATTAAATATTCTCATTTTACAATTCCCGATTTCGCGGTCTGTAACTTTTTCATTTTTACAAGCGTCAAGCGTATTTTTATATTTGATTGATACGAGATCGTGTTAGATGAAAAATTAGACAAAATAGTTGCATATAAATCATTCGAATAAAGATAAAAAATAAATGAAAGAAATATCAAACTCGCGTGATTATCTTTCTTTCCAGTTTGTTCGCTCGCGCAGAAATGAATTAGTTATTTTTTTAAATTACAAACATTTGCACAATAATTTAGTTTATCAAACAACAAAAACACCAACAACAACAACGACAACAAAATATATAGAATCAACTTCTACGAAGGAAGGAAGGAAGGAAAAAAAAAGGCGTTTATCTTTGATTTCATTTTCGATAGATCAAAATAGAAAAAGAAAGTTGGTCGTGATTCCTGTCGATGAAATGGATATGTGTCGACAAGTAATAATAATACACAAGCCTTTTATTCGTTTGGAGAGCGAAGACGCGTTAAGTCGATGATCAGGTTGGCAGGTGCGAAACGCAGATGGTCACAAAACGTACAATAATAATATAGAATCTATTGAGAGGTGCGAGCCTTTCTTATAAAAATAAAAAAACAAATAAGAATGAGAGACATTTTATATTATACTTTGATAGAACTATCGTTTGAAAAAGATTATCAAATTTTAACTCACTCTCTTTTCCGTTCTATACCCTCCTAACCCTTTCCTAATTACATTACGACAATTTCTACAAATTTCTAAATTATCTATAGGTAATTTTTGTATAAAAACATAATAATCTCAATATTTTACTTTACGATTTAAAATATTTGTCTACGAAGGTTTGATCATTTGACCCTAAAAAATATTACACGCATTCTATCATATATATATATGTCGAGCAAACGTTTATATTGTATTTTTACTATCGATCACACGTGTGGCGATAGTAAATTGAATAATTAACGACGAATTAAAAGTAAATAGATTATTTTTGAAGAAACATATAGAAATCATATTCGAATGATTTGCATAACGCGCCCGGTAAAAAGAAAACTTAATAAATGAAAGTAAAAATCGTAAATCGAAATGGGGTGGTACTGTCAACGCGTATAACTTTGAATATAATACATCAAATATAATATTGCAAAATATTTCATGGGTTTATTGTAATAGACCTTGTGATCCTTGATTAAAAAATTAAAATGAATAAACGAACCTTGATGAAGCAATCGTTGAAGGATAAATTGTGCCTGAGAGAGTTTTGCCATCGGCGTGTGTCCTTTCGATAATAAGGAAATCGGTCGGCGATAAATTTATATATTTCAGCGAGAGGTAACATTTTATCTCGCGATGACCATATCGCCATTGCCGTAAGCGATATATAAGAGAAGGGTGGTTTTTGATCTCCGTAAGTATCGCGCGACGGCCGCGGCATTCTTGGAAAGCCAACAGCCTCAAGAATAGAAGCTTAACGAGCGATTTAGCTCGGGCTTCTCAGGAGACTTCAACACCTATTTCTTCCTATGTGATTCGAACCATTAATCGACGATTAACTTTGACCACCAGCCAAAGAACTATCATTCTTCTCTCTTCTTCTTCTTCTTCTTCTTTTTCTTCTACTTGTTCTAGTACTTAACTTGTCGAGCTTAAACTTTGACGAGCTTAGCACCGATAAAAAGCACCAATGATGATAGTTTATCATCCGAGATTAATCCCAATGCGTGGAACATTTCCCACTAATCTATCCATATATTCTCATATAATCGACACGAGGAAATAAAAAGGAAGAAGGATCCTTTCTTCTTCCTCACCGAATAACACCGATCACGATCAAATTTCGTCTTTTTATCATTTATTTATTCTATTCTATTCACCAGAATTATCCTGTTAAGTCCGACACTGTTAATTCACTCATGATGTACGAACGTCACTTCGTTATTATACGTAACAAATCGTTTTTGTATCTAACGAGATAAGAGGAGAGAGAGAGAGAGAGAGAGAGAGAGAGAAAGAGGGAAATCTAGAATAAAAGAAACAAAAAGACACTAATTACTAAGATATTTATTTAGAACCGAAAGAAAACGTAGATACTAGAAGAGAGTCTTAGGGTATACTGTATGAAAAAGCTTGGAAATCTAAGCTCCCACGATCGTGTCTCCACGGATACTGGCTACTAACCATACCCACACCCCCGCAACAAGTTCCCCTACTCAAACGTTGGCACGGTAGCGCCTGGGATTGGTTGACGAGGAGCCTCCTCGAGTTCTAGGTCCCACCTGATATTATGGCTTGCCTCCAATCATCGCTCGACTTTCTTTCACGTTAAACCCCTACCTTGGTAAGATCGTTGACGATGGGCGTTTAGCTAGATACGAGGAGGGTATATTTTTACTCTATTTTCCTCTCTCTTGCGCTCTCTCTCTCTATCTTTCTTCCTCCTTCTCCATCCTTCTTTTCATCAGCAAACGCATACTCTTGTTCGCAAAACGGAAGGTGGAGTCGAATCAAGCGAGAACCGTCCCAAGGAACGAGGATACTCTTGTTCTTTTATTTTGTCTTCTCATCCCCGTGCAACAATCCGATCTCCATGCGCATCGAAGAGGCCGGACGAAGAGGCCTTCCAAGGATGGAGGACGTGGTGCGAGAGGACGGTGGTGCCAGAGGACGGTGCCAGAGGACGGTGCCAGAGGACGATGCCAAAGGATGGTGCGAGAGGACAATGTTCCCTGCGTTGCAGCCACCAACCAATCGATTCAGCCGTATGCTCGATGTTTAATGCACGAGTGCACGCCTACCTTGCAGAAACGTGCCTTCGAGATTGGAACATTGTCTTTTCTCTTTCCTTTTCCGTTCAACTTGCGCGCGCACTTTCTAATAAAATCGCAAAGTGGAAGGGTAAATGCTCCCCTTTTTCTAACAACAACCCCAACATATCCGTGGTTACGCATTTGACGTTAACGCAGTATATACAATTATTCCCTCAGTTTATCGATTTGTACTTTCCTAATCATTCTATCGCATTGATGTCTCCGATTCGACGATTCATTCTTAGAATTAAATGATTAAAGTATAATGCTAATGCATTTCAAGTGATTCGAATTCATTTAGATTTCCTAATATTTATATTTACTTTTATTTATTGCCAAGCTACTCTTTCATAAAGATCATCGATCGTTTAAATAATTATATGAATAAACTTGAAATATTCTTTTTTTATCTTCCTTGCGAATTTAAATTTATTTGCTTGAACAGTAAAAAATTATATAAATTTTGTAAATACTTCAAAATCAGCTGTAATTTATTATATAATCTGGGCACGTATAAAACATAAGCCTTAACTAATAATAAATTGATATTACCCTCGATATTAGAATACGAATACGTAGTCTTAGGACGTAAGTCGGCAATAAAAGATTTCTGTTTTGTCATCGGTAAAGAAGATTCTTTCGTTGATGTTTAATGGTAAAATAAATTCCTGTTTTATCGTTGGGTGATAATCTCATGCTTTCCTTCGGTAGGTAATGTAGATTTCTTTTACTTCAAACTCGTTGACATAGAGCGGCTTAATACAACGTTGCCAAACTCGATATTTTTTAAATTCTAACGCAGTTATAGAGTTCTATTAGGACCATACACTGTGCAAGCAATAAGACTCAGAATTCAGCCATTTATAAAAAAACGAAAACAGAGATTTCATAGATATTATTTCGTAATTTCGTAGGAGCCTAAACTTGTAACAAAGAAATCGCTTAATCTAGTTTCGATCGAACGACCTCTTTTTTTCTACAATTTAAATCTCATTTTTGTATTTCTTATTTTCGTCATTGAAAGACATGTTTTATTCATCTTATCTATCATAGGATAGGTTCTTACAATGTGTTGTCACGATAGAACTCGTAGATCAGCAGTATGAATTCTCTTAATTGTAATTGGTCGCAAGTGTTCAATCGGAATTGAAGAACATTTAATTGGACAGATATTTAAACCAATCAACATGTACGTCCAATTTTCAGGATTCTCCCATTAGTCGATCGTCAAAATATTCCGAAATCGTTGTTGATCATTGGTCCAGTGGGATATATGTACATCCAATGGGATTATAGGATAAAATGTAAAGAAGTGTTAAAAATTCGCCTATATCATGTGATGTATTCATCGCGTCAATCTTGTTTGGTGTGTGGTGCGTGCTTGAAGCACGGTGCGTAGGTGGAATATCGAAACGTTTCAAGAATTGATTTTATTTAAATATCTTTAAACTGTAAAAAAAACGTCCAAAAGTACGCGTATGTAATACATCTTTCATTATTTATATTCGTAGTACTTAATTATATGATTTAGGTCATTAAAAAAACATTGATTCGTTACAGTACCATAACCATTTTGATCTAACATTCTATTTTATTCAAGTTTCGATTTGTAATGAATTTTGATGATATCCTATATATGACATATCTAATTAGATTTGTTTTTATTGTAAATATCTTCTATCCGCGGTTGAAATATTTGCTTGATATATTTGTTTGTACATGGATTACTCGCGGATTGAGTATAATTTAACTGATATTTGAATATTGATTAACCCTTGGATTGGCAATGCTCACTTAAGAATCCCAGTCAGTCGATATCAGATCACTTGTTACTCCTACTAAAACTTATCTATTTACTTTGTATTTAGTTTCTCTATTAAGTTTACCTTGTTTTTATCTTATTAACGATATTTCTTTTACTAATTATTCAACATTTTTTACTAATTTTATAAATTTTTTCCATTTTTCACTAATTTGATACATTTCTCCATTGAAAAAAGATTAAAGTTATGCATCTTTCTCTCCACTCCTTGTTTCGAGTACCAACGCAATTAATTTTCTATTAATGCATGCCGAAATCATTATAATAATTTGTATTGTTTATAACATATTTATAAAAGCCGATCTCATTGACTTGGATTCATTATTACCATTACATACAAACATATCTAAAAACTTGGACATGAACGATTAAGTAGTAGCATAAAAATTAGAAATTTAAATTCTTACTTTGACATTTCACAAAGTTTGAATATGTAATGTGCATTAAATTAATACATTGATATGTATTAAATACAATGCTAAGAATAGAATTCGTTGATTCTCTTAATAAATGTAAAGTTCATATTTGAAAGAAATCTATTTATTTAGTTAAATATGAAAACACATGTTTTAATAATGCTTAACGTATGTAAATTATTTATAAATTAGTAAGAGAAAATTATCATACTAATAACTGTCATATAAATGATATTTTGTTATAGAAATGTCTGAATCAGATTTATTAGCTAATGACCATATTGATGGCCTTGATGGACTTGAAAATGGTCAAGATGGTGATGCTATTATGCAGTGTGACGCAGTTAAACGCGAATTGAATGAAGCAAATATAGATGATCCAGTATGTGATAATTAAATAACAATATTTTGTATGTTTTATTAAAATATATGCTCTATTTGATCATATTATAGGAACTGGAAGCTATAAAGGCGCGAGTCAGAGAGATGGAAGAAGAAGCTGAGAAATTAAAACAACTTCAGTCGGAGGTGGATAAACAGATGAACATGGGTAGTCCACCCGGAATCAGTAAGATATACTTTTTGTATCTTCTTTTTAAATCCCCTGTTTAAGATTCTGTACACATCATTATCTTAATAATAATCACATTTATTTTCCCTCACTTATATATATATATATATATATATATATATATATATACTACTTCTACTTTCATCAGAATTCATATAGAAATCATTTATTTCAGCAAGTCCATTGAACATGTCGCTCGAGGATAAAATGGAAGTTGATAATCGATCTATATACGTTGGAAATGTAAGTTAAAAATAATAAAATGCAATATCCAACAATGTCATTATTTTTCTTATACATAGAAAACATTTTATTCTTGCGTACAACAGGTAGATTATGGTGCAACAGCCGAAGAATTAGAACAACATTTTCATGGCTGTGGTAGTGTCAACAGAGTAACAATACTATGTAACAAATACGATGGTCATCCAAAAGGTTTTGCATACATTGAATTTGCTGAACGTGATTCCGTACAAACGGCCATGGCTATGGACGAATCCATGTTTAGAGGACGTCAGATAAAAGTTATGCCAAAACGAACAAATAGACCAGGACTTTCTATAACAAATAGGTATGAAGATTGATAATAGATCGTATCTAAGGAATAAGTAATACGAATAAAAATGTATATTCATTGTAGGGGGCCTAGGGGTGTACGCGGTTATCGTGGTATGGCTCGAGGGATAATTCGTGGCAGTGCATACTTCGGATACAGACCTACTAGGAGACTAAGGTATTTAACGCTTTAGATATTTTCTATTAAATAATATTCGTAGACATATTCTAATTATATCAAGTTGGTTTTTGTTTCTTTTTTAC